TGATGTTCTCAGATCCAGTGACCCCCCTCATATCCAGTCCCCATATGGGACTCATTCTGAGTGACTTTTCCAGAAGGTTTCTGTGCTTTAGTCCCGTATAACCTCATCTCTGTACTTTTGCCAGTGCTATTCTCTCTCCATGGTGCCCCCCCTCACCTCTTGTTTGCCTGTCAACATTTACTTACCATTCAACTTTCATCTCCAACACTACCTCTTTAATACTTGTTTGTTCCTACTTTTTTACTTCCCCATTATTGGCACTCAAAGTTGGTGAGTCTCCTTTTCAACACCTATAATATCTATATTTCTCACATTTCTTACATTGCCTACATTTTTTTGTATATTTATTCCATTATGCATCTGTTTTCTTCTTTTACCCTGAAGGATCCTCAGCTTGGATTCCTTGTCTGAACTGTTTTCCTTGTACCTCTGGTTGTTAGTAAAGTACCTGACACACAGATACTTTCTAAATATTTACTGAATAGATGAATAGATGGAATAAATGAAGTATGTTTGACTGTGGGCTAAAATAGTTACATTTATGTTATCACATAATAGTACATAAATATTTTTATATAACTATTTCAACTTCACAGCAGCTCTGTGAAATAAATAACTTAGTTAAGGGACCTAAGCTTGAGAGGATAATATCACAAAGCCATTACATTAAAAGTTTTTTTTTTTTTTTGAGCTTAGCCATGACTTTTTCACAACAAGGATCTTCTAACATAAAAGTTTGCCTGGTTCATAGGGAAGCTGTCAGGATGAGCTGTTACTCACCCCCTAAGTATTGAATAGTAATATTTTCACCAAATTATATGTTGATGTGATTTTTTTGGAGGCACTGAGGAAAAGTAATTGATAAATCTGTGTAAAAGTAATTCAGAAACCTCAGTAGAAGAAGTATTAAAATGGTGGAACTAATGGGTGTTTGGCAAGATGTGGTTGAGTAAAATTACTGGGCTTATCTCCTCCACATACTCATGATTATATTAAAGCATACATAAACAAATCTCCTGAAGGAAAAACAGACAACCCCAGCACATAGTAAGAGTATCTCTCCAGTGAATAGGGGTAGGAAAACTTTAAGTGAACTGACTTTATAACTATATCAGGGCAACAAACCCATGAGAGTGTGGACTGGCTGCTGTAAAAAACCCTCTACAGTTGTTAGCTTGGGGCATACACTAATATGAGGGACTCTTGAGTCCCAGTATTACACTGTATAATGGGGTATGCAGAGTTGGCACTCAGCTAGACGGTGCACTGTTGGGAAAACATGGGAGCAGGGATGCAGAGTGAAGATTCCTTATAAGCCTTAGCCTCTCAATATAAAATGTCTGAAGACTGAATTGGCAGGGAAAAACAAGTCATATCACTTGTGTTTACTCATGGAAGCTACTATCCAAAGCCAATGCTGGGATAGCCCTGCCACCACTTCATCAGAGCTAAAACCTACAGAACAAATGAACTCTTGCATAAAGCAGAGTTTAGTTACCTGTTAACAACAAAATAATCCCCACCCCCAAGATAAGGCCCTGGAAAAGAACAACCCTTGGTTTATGAACCCATATTGGCTATAATCCATGCCCAGCACTAGATCTCATATTCAGAAATATCCTAGAGCTGGTCTAAGGAGCAGATGACTGTGGATCTCCATACACCACTCTAGTACCCACAGCACAATAGAGAACTTGAATCCCTGACTTCATTAGGAGTGATCCTTCAGTGCTCTCTGCCCCCAGTAACTTTTTGCTTATTATTCCTTAATGAGATCACTTCTTTGACTACTTCAAAGGTGTAAAGGTACAGTCTACATATAGAAAATAGTGTAAGAGTCTTTTGGTTAACCTAAAGAGAAGCAATAGTTGGATCATGGGAGTTATAGAAGGAGAGGAAAAAGAGAAAGGCATAAAAAATTTATTTAAAGAAATATTTTATGAAAACCCTCTCAATCTGGGAAATGAACCAGACATCATTTTCAAAGAGGCCCAAGGAGTTCCAAATGAATTAAATAAGACACACTATAATAAACCTTTTAAAAGTCAATGATTAAGAGAGAATACTAAAAACATTAAAAGAAAAAAGGGTAGCCTATAAGGGATCATCAATCAGATTTGCCAGAAGAGTTTTTAGTAGGAGTATTGCAAGTAATGAAAAGATTGGCAAGTTATTTTGTATATTTAAAGAAAGATTTCCAGCTTGGAATCCTTTATTCTATAAGATTAGTATTCAAAATAAAATAAAGAGTAAAGAGCTTCACTGTAAAGCAAATTAAAAGAATTGATCAGCACCAAGTTGCACATGAAAAGATCTTAAGGAAGCTATTACAAATCAACAATGAAAATAGAGGTGAAAAAAATAAAATTGAATAACATACTGACAAGAAGGAAGACAGAGGAGGAGGAGAGTAACAATTTGACCCATCAGAATGAATCAGAGAGCAGACTGTTCATTGGGTCACATACTAATCTATCATATACTAACCTCAACAGAAATATAACATAAAACATAAAAAAAAACCCTCAAAATGTAAACAGATAATACAAGCCAAGTCAAAACAGGCCAAAAAAAAAAAAAAAAAAGGCAAGATCTTAAAGATCACCTTAAATGTAAATGACCTAAATTCATTGGTTAAAAGGGGTAGAGTGGGGAAATGGATTTCAAAACAAAAACCAGCCTATGCTTTTTACAAAAAACACTTTACCAACAAATACAAACACAAAATTGGAGTTAAAGGCTGTAAGACAGCTCTAGAGGCAAATGGCAGTCTGAAAAAAATCAGAAATAGCTAGACTTATATTAGACAAAAGATTTTCAATTAAAAGAATGTAATAAAAGATAAAGATATCACTGTATTACAAAGAGGGATCTAATACAACAAGAAAAATAACACTAGTGAATACATATATACTAAGTGATAAGAGCAACAAGATGCATAAAAGATTAGCAACTGAAGTAATAATACACTAACTAGGGAATTTTAGTATCTGTCTTACAACTTTGGACAAATTAATGAGACAGAATAAATGAGGAAATATTAACCTTAAATGAGGAGCCAGACCAGGTAAGTTTAATAGACATCTACAGAAGAATCCCCTCAACAACTGCTCCATGTACTTTTTTTTAAGTACACATGGAAAACTTTCAAGAATAAACTACATATAGGAAAAATAGTAAGTTGTCATTATATCTACAGAGATCAAAATTATACCAAGTATTATCTCTGGCAGTAATGTAAAAAGTTTAGATCAGTTAGAAGAAGAAAACAGGGAAGCTTATCTGAATTCAAACATTACTATAAACAGTCCTAAAACAATAATATGGTATTGGCACAAAAATAGATACACAGGTAATGAAATAGAATTGAAGGCCTAGAAATAAATCCATGCAAATATCCTTAATGTGTGGTAAAGTAGCTAGGACCATACAGTTGAGAAAAGACAGTCTCTTTAATAAGTGGTACGGGGAAAAGTGGAAAGCAATACATAGTCTACATGAAGTAGGATTATTCTCTAACTCCATACATAGAAATGGACTAAAGATTTACATACAAGATTTACAGCAATAAAATATTTAGAAGAAAGCATTGACAACAAGCTCATGACATCAATGATAAAGGTGAATATTTCTGGAACCTCAAGTACTATGGCAGGAATAATAAAGGAAAAAAATAAACATTTGAGATTACCTCATTTAAAAAGTGTTTTCACAATGAGAAATATACAAGAATATTTAAAAAGATATCCTATTGACTGAGAGAAAATATTCATACAGTATACAACTGATTGAATTAAGGTATATAAGTAACTTACACACTTTAAAAATTAAAAACCACAATTAATAAATGGACAACAGATATGTACAATTTGCTAATGAAATATGCAGATGACCAATAGGTGTATGAAAATATGTTCATTATCATTTCCAGTAAGAGAGAGATTCAGGTTTAAATTTTAATAAGATGCCATCTCAGACCTCTGAGAATAGCACATATTAAAAAGACCTCCAACAGCAAGTACTGGAGCAGATGTAGAGAAAGAGGATCCTATTCGACTGTTGTTGCAAATGTAGAATTGTGCCACCATTATGAAAAGCAATCACTTTTTAAAATTAATTTTACTTTAAGAATCTAAATATGGAAACAATATATCACCCAGCACCTTTCACTTTTGGACATGTATCTAGAGAATATGAATCTATAAGCTCTGTTTTGCAATGCTCTTAGCAGCATTATTTATAATAGCTAGGTCATAGAATCAATCTAAATGTCTAACGATAGAAGATTGGGTCAAGAAGATGTATTATATCTATACAATTAAGTACTATTTATCCATAAGGAAAGATGATGTACAACCATATCAGCAAAACTGGGGGAGTTTAAGAAAACTATGTACAGTAAAGCAAATTAGGACAGTAAAAAAATACTGAACATTTACATAGCAGATGATTTGATAAAGAAAAATAATTACAAAACTAGTGGGTGTAAATAAATATTGTGTGGGCTCTGAGACTAAAATGAATTGGAAAAGGTAAGGGTTAAGAGGGCATAATGGATGGTGGTGGGGAAAAAGAAAAACTAAAATAAAACAGTGGGCATTATATTTCTGAACCAAATTTCTCCTAATGAATGGGCAGGACATTTCTAGAATGACCTCAGTATCAGGATTAAAGTCTCAGATCAGCCCTTGCCTTTGTAACATTTTGATATGGGGAGTGCTCTGATGAAACCCCAGTGCATTTAAAGGCTTTAGTGATTTAGTATTGATAAGCCTAAGGAAGTAGATGGAAGTAAGTTTAGAAAATTACATACTTTATCCTTTCAACCACATTTGTGATGTCAGCCTTACTACAATGATGAGTTGATTGGAATGTGTTTGACATAAAAAAAAAAAAAACTTTTTTAGTTAAATTTTAACATGCAAATTTAATGCAGAATCAAGCTTATTGTAAAACTTTTGGAAAACAAAAATGTTCTCTCTTTTTTTCTTTCCCCTCAGATGGCTTCCCTTTATGTCCCTGGGCATAATTCATTCAGAAATTGAACTTTATCTTCAAGGTGAGGATTAATGAAAACTTCAGTAGAAGAAAGTACAAGATGATTTTAATACAACTGGACATCATGGAACATTCTTCAGTTGCCCATAAACTGTCCCCTTTGATAATTTGTCCTTTACAACAGATTTATATTATTCCTCACAATGATAATAAAATCATAATTAAAGATTTGTCTTTGTAATGTTAAATTCTCTACCATATTTTAAAACTCAGCTTGAGGATTTGCTACTATTAAGGAGTTAAACTCACACTACCTTTTCTTCCATTCATAATGCCATCAGACAGTTCTATTATTAATTGCACTTCACTTTTATTTTTGCAGAAATGCAAATAGATCATCAACTTAAAATACAAGAGGAAGCAAATGGTAAATGTTGTTGTCATTTTTCATCTTTTAATCATGTGAAATAATCTTTTTCAATGTCAAGATTACCTTCCTTGTTTAATTTATATTATACAAGTTTATTCTCATTGAATTTAAACATTGATTGAAAAATTTTAAAATAAGAAAAGAATAGGCATTATAGATTCATTTAAAATAAACTAACATGAAGAGCTTTAGCCCTAAATGCTTTTTACCTTCAGTAAATATGTCGGGGGCAAATGACTAATTTCAACTGTCATTTTTCCTACTAACTTTGCATATTTATTTCTCAATTTTCTTTTTCTTTTTCTTTTTTTTTTAAAGATTTATTTATTTGTGCATACAGAACTGGGGTACAGGCCAGAGGTTCAGGGGCAGTGAGAGGCTTCACCAGAGACAGAGTGGGGAACAGAACAGGTGGATCGACGAAGTACACTGCTGAGGGGAGCAGTGGGCAAGTCAGGAGAGGTCTGCCACGCCATGTGGTCACCTCCGGGGCAGGTGGGAATCGAACTCATGCGGAAGTGATTTTAGATTCTGAGTGCTGTGCTTTAACTCACTGCACCACCAGGGAGGGCCTCTCAATTTTCTTTTTAAAGTCTTTTGAGATTAGCTTTTTCTACTAACTAGATCGTCTTCAAATCAACCTACAATTATATTATTAGTATATTTACATTTTAAAGCTGATCTAAATGAGATGGATTATATACAGATTATTAATAATGCAGACCAAGCTAAAACCTTGTATGTTTCTAAACTGTTTGCACTGTGTGTGTAGCTTGAAAGTAAGCAGGGGTTAATTCTCTAAGAAAGTCCTGTGTAGATTAGAATGTCCACTGAGAGGCAGATATTCCATGTGCACTCTGAAAAGTAGGTTAAACTAGCATTTACATTTACTGATACTAGAATTGTACTTTGACTTCTATTTTTGCTTTTTGTTATTTAGTTATATATACAGCAAAGGCTGTGCATGTATCAGAGTGTTAACAGGGACATAATTTTACGTTTCAGACTTTCTCAGTAATTTCAAGGGACCTCAAAGGTCTGTGTCTCACAATAAGCCCTTAAGCTTGAAATGACATCCGAACTAGAAAAATTACCCATTAATTCCAGAACTTGCTTTGGTATATATGAATAATATATGCTAATAGTTTTAAACTGAAGATTTGAATTAGGAATGAACTGTTGAATGTTCTTTGTTGATAATATCGATCATGTTATCAACATCACCGATAACAAATATAATGAAGTTGCATTATCCAGCAGAGGTGTTTACACAGGAGTATGTGGGAAATGCTTCATCAGTAGTTTTTGACCAAAAATAAAATAATGTAAAATGTTTTATTATAATTAATTTTATGGCCTCCTTAAAGTACCTTTATTTTTATAGTACATTATCTATCGTGATTGGTCTTATTTTCCTTTATTTTATTTTTAATTATTAAGAATGTGACCTAATAAATTTTCTCAAGATACTTTGTAATGATCTATAATGGTGACCATATCACTAAACAGCCATATTTTCTTATCTTAAGATGCCAGTTAGTGCCTGGTACAGTGAAGAATAGCAGCAGTATGGTAACAATACTAAACTTGTATAGTGTTTGATATGTAGACTAATGCTTGTAACGTATGTAATGGTTTAGATACTTAATCCTCACAATATCACATGAAGTAGTTATCATTATTCCATTTTATAGGTGATGAAACTAGCTGACACATGATTTTTAAAATTTTCCTAAATTCACAAAATTGGGAAAAAGCAGATCTAGAATTTGAATCCAAATGGTTTGACTTCAGAATCTGTACTGTTTCTTTCATTAATGGAACTTCTAACTGTTCATTCTTTTTTTAAAAAATGTGTTTTTGTGTATGTGTATCTTTTCTGTCTTTAAATTAGTTTTGGTGTACTAATTTTCTCACCTTTTATATCTTTAGTATTCAACCTTATTAGAGGCCCCATGGGACCTCTTGGATGCAGTCTCCATCTGCACTTGCTGACTCTGTGTGGAGTAGAGATGACCCCTCTGTGGCCCAAATTGCAGATACCTTGGCAAGAGAAATAATTGTTTTAAGTTCTTATATTTAAGGTGGCGTGTTACACAGCAATAGAAAACTACATTTGTAGAATTGGTAGAGTTCATATAGACCTGCCTGCATTTGGGTGTCAAGATTTAAAGAGTAAATATATTGAGGATTATGAGTTGCTATCCTGAGTGGCAAACAATGATATGGTTCTGAAGTTACCTAGTATCTAGTGTCCAGTAGATTTCTCGGAAGTTAGAGCATAAAATATATGAGAATTTTTAGTCAGTACTCAATACGCAAGTCAAGGTAAGATTGGGTAGGCAGTGGGCCCAAGGAAGGTTTAGTAGCAGGTATGAAGTAAAATAGAAGGAAGTTTGGGTTAAGGACACAACAGAAACCCCTTTGAGTAAAAGCTGGATTCCTGGTTGAGGATGGTCACAGGAAATCTGTGGCACCTGAAAGGAATATTGACCTTTAGCTAGTGTGTTCTCCTCCCTGCAAGCATTAAGATTTGAAATGGGGCCCTCCCTGGTGGCGCAGCAGGTTAAAGCACAACACTGAGAAGCTAAAGCCACTTCCCCATGAGTTCGATTCCCGCCTGCCCCGGAGGTGACCACATGGCGTGGCAGACCTCTCCTGACC